CCGTGAGCTGCTGGCAGTGATCCTGGCCATCAAGAGTTTAGGGTCTATCTCTCCGGCCAGCCATTTGACCTTATCACCGACCACGCAGCACTCAAATGGATCAACAGCCTGGCGATGGATGAGATCCATGGGCGACGTGCACGGTGGCTGGATTATCTACAACAGTTCCCGATGAGACCCATACACAGGCCAGGAACTTCACCCGAACTGAGTATGGCGGATTATTTGTCCCGCATTGGGCATGCCGAGCTACCAAAAGTCATGCAGTGCCTAAGCGTGCAGCAGGAGGATAGTAAGAATGACGGCATCCACCAGCTCACCACGCTCTTCTCCATCCAGGAACTGACCGAAGCGCAGCACAAGTGTCCAGCGCTAGGCCCCGTGATGAAGGAGCTGAGGGATCCGGGCTCAGTGGGCTCGCTGGAGGAGGAATCTAAGTGCATCCTGAGGAAGAGGGCACGACTGAGGATCGGCACGGATGGAGTTGTTTTCTTTATTTGTTGTTTTCTTTATTTGAATTCGCTAAAACCAAACGGACAGAACTGTCCAGTGACAAGGGAGCGAATGATGAGCGTCATAATCACTATGCATCAAAACATCTCAGGACAAAATGAGACAGACTATATTAAGGGAGGGTCTGCACAACACTTGTACATAAAGGGGAGTACGAGAACAAAGGCGCGGCAGAAGTCGAAGCAAGAAAGCAATCAACGCCAGAGATATTTTTGTCCACCAAAAACAGAGAGAGAGAGAGAGAGAGAGAGAGAGAGAGAGAGAGAGAGAGAGAGAGATCTGAGAGCGAGAGAGAGACAGAGAGAGAGACTAACAAATGAGGGCTGAGACCTCTACAGCAGGGCTTTACGTCTGAAAACAACCGCACGAATTAACAAGCAAGTTGTCAGAGAGCAGGGAGAGAGACGGGCAGGCAGGCCAACAGGCAGGCATATAATGAAAATATGGCGATAGTGATCCGTCTGACCTCAAGGGTTCATGCTGTGTGGAACAGCAGCAGTGCGAAATTGGGCCGGGTGCGGTATGGCCCGTACCTCGCTGGGCAACGCATTCCAGAGCCTAGCTCCTTGGAACGCGAGACAACCCTTACCCAGCTCAGTGCGGGTTGGCGGTGGTCTTAGGCCCATCGATGATTGCAGCCGAGTAGGAGCGCCACTGGTTGGTAGCAACAGCACTTGCAGTGTGGGGCTAGCACGGGAGTAGCGGCAGCGCCAAACCAGGAAGATGAGCTTCTGGATGAAGATCTCCCGGACACGGTAGGCGCCGAGTTGGACTAGCAGGTTTCTGGCAGAGGTGCGCGGCGAGCATCCGTACACAGCTCGAGCCGCACGATTCTGCAGAACTTGGAGACGGTCCAGGTGCTTACCCGCCAGCGATGCTGAGAAGGCATTGGAGCCATATGAGAAATCAGGCTTGATCACCGACTTGAAGTACTGGATGCGGCTTTGCATGCTGAGGCAGCGGCGCATCCGCCACAGCACACCGACTTTCTTGGTGAGGCGGGCAACGCACCTATCCATCTGGGTGTTCCAAGACATGGCGCTGTCAATGTGAACTCCGAGGTAGCAAGCAGAAGAGACAGATGGCAGCTTAGTCGCATGACACCATACATCCAGTTCAGTTTGCGCTTCTAGCTTCCCAGCCGGTACTACCAATGCCTGACTTTTTGATGCATTAAGGATCAAACCTCGCTGCTTCAGCCAGTCAGCAATGCATGTCACTGCTCTGGAGAGAGTGGCGGTCAGTTCCTGTTGTGTTGGGCGACTGCAGGTCAGTGCGATGTCATCTGCGAACTGGATGGACTCAGCTTGCTGGGCAACAGATGGTATGTCCCGGGTGTAAAGGCTGAACAGCAGTGGACCTAATACCGACCCCTGTGGTACTCCACAGGAGCAGGCTGCCACTGTGCTAAGCTGGGATCCCAGCTGGACAATCTGGCAGCGATCAGACAAGTATGACATGAGCCACTGGAGCGCTGTTCCAGTGACGCCCACACAGAAGAGATCTTCGACTAGTTGCTGGTGGCGAACCTTGTCGAACGCCTTCGACATATCCAGGAGGACCACACCCGTGAACATGCGGCGGTCTCTTGAGGCGAGGATCCTGTTTACCATCAGCACAAGGGCATCCTCCGTGGAATGTCCTGTCCGGAATGCAAACTGTGTGCTGGGCAGAGAACCAGCCATATCCAGAAAGGTGACAAGTGCCTTCTGCACCACCTTCTCTAGCAGCTTCGAGAGAATTGGGAGCAGGGACACAGGACGGAAATTGTTGGCGACAGATGGATCGCCAGCCTTGTGCAATGGGGTCACATACGCACGCTTAAAGCCAGCGGGTACAGTGCCGGAGGTCAGGGACGCATTGAAAAGTGCTGCAACTGATGGTGCTAGCAGGTCGGCACAGTACTTTAGAAGTAAGCCTGGGATGCCGTCGCTCCCAGTTGCTTTGCGCGGGTCGATGCGCTTCAAAAGCTGTTCAGCATCGCAGGCACGCACATGTTGGAATGAGGTCAGGGCAGACCGAGGCTGTGGTCCCTGAGGCATAGAGAGAACTGAAGGTCGAGCATCATCAGAGACTACCTTGCCAAACGTGGACGCAACATGTTCGATGTCGCATGTCGGCTGGATTGATTGTCTCTTGCGTCCAGTCACAGTATTTAGGACTGACCATAACTTGCGTGGGTTCTGGCAATTATCTTGGCACTGACTTTGGAAGTACTGGTTGCGTTTGCACCTGTTTGTATTCGCAGCAACCGAGCGGGCACGTCTATATGCTGCGTGAGCTTCAGAGTTGGCTTTGTCAGCAAGCCACTTTCGATGCAGGCGACGCTTCAGCTGGTTTATCTTGTATAGCTCTCTGTCAGACCATGGAGGATGGAGCTTGCCTGTCTTAATCTTGCATTGCTGCAATGGCGCATGCCTGTCGAGGACAGAAAGGAATCGTTGATGCCAGTGGTCCCACATGGCTTGCACATCAGAGTCTGGTGGGTACACATGAAGTTCAGCAGCAGCTAGGTCAAGTCGGAAGGCAACCAAGTCAATGTTATCTAAACGGCGACGCACACGCTGCTTGGGGATGTCTGGCTGGGCATGTCTTGCATTGAAGGTTGCTTCAACTCCAAAGTGGTCACTGAGTGTAAGCGGCAGGACTCGGCAATCATGCAAATCCTTATCCTCTGTAGTCAGTATCAGGTCAATAGTAGTGCCAGCTGGACACCGAGGTGAGACTCGCGTAACGGAGTGGACGATATTAGTGAGGCCATATGCACCACAGAGATCCAGAAGGGGCTGGGCATGCTGTGGCAGGGAATGCGAGATATTGACATTGAAGTCACCCATCAATGTGACGGCTGAGGTAACCATAGCAGCTTGATGCAGCGATGCCTCAAGGGTGGACCAGTAGGAGACTGGCGCATCTGGTGGTCGGTATATGCAGCCAATTAAGTGATTGCCTGCCTTTCCATTTAGCTCAACCCACACTACCTCCGTGTCCCCTTGGTTGAGATCCGGCCGTGGTTTGATGGGCAAGCAGGACCGGTAAAAAATACAGACGCCACCTCCTTTTCTCCCCTTTCGGTCATTTCTCACCAAACTGTATCCTTCAATGTTCACTTCTCCATCAGCTATAGACGCGTCCAGCCATGTCTCCGCAATCCCAACAACATCCCATGTCCTTTCCCTAATCAGAGCGGACAGCGTGTCTATCTTGTAGCGCAGGCTGCAGATGTTAAGGAATCCAATGGTGGTATGTGTTGAATGAGATTGTGGCAGTCTGTTAATAGATACGGTAGCAGCCTGAGGGTAGAACTCCCGCGCAACTGGATTTAGCTTACTCATTAAGAGCTAGATGAAGGTTGCATTTTGCATGGTATTCCCGACATGGATCCAGGGGAATCTTCTGCATGACGCTTTCCAGGGCGAGGTGGCGTGGCTTTGGCTGGAGCAGACGTAGTTGACGTATCTTGAAGCTTGGGCTGGTGCTGGCCACTGTCCTGGTGGACATCACTAGATGCAGGGCTTTGGCTGTCATTAGACGCAGGGCATTGGCTGTCACTGGACGCAGGGCATTGGCTGTCATTAGACGTCCTGCGCTACTCGGAGTCGAAGGGCAGATCTACGAAACAGAAGTCACTGGGTCGGAGAAAAATCCAGGTGGTGGTTCTACCCTGTTCGTTGCGCCGGAAGTTCCTAGAGCTGGTGCATGATGCACCACTCAGTGGTCACATGGGCGGAAACAGGACCAACGACCGCATTCGGGACAAAGTATGGTGATTGATTGATTGATTTTATTTGGATTCGCGAGACCAAACGAGCAGGAGTGCTCAATAACAAGGTAGCGAATGGTTGAGTTGTGCTATGTGACAATGTAGTGTGTGCGTGGGGTGGTGGTGGTTGGGGGGGGGGGGAAGCTGCGGAGGCCCAATACAATGTAAGGGGATGGGAGGAGAGAAGGCCAGCGGACAGTCAAATTCAGAAGAGGGAGGAGAGAATAGCTGAATAAACGGTTACTGTGTGAATTCAAATATACCAAACAAACTGCAAAACAAGTCCACATCTCACGAGAATAAAGAGGACTGGAGCACAGAATTGAACTGCTGAAGTACACAGCTGACGAGAATAGAGACAGGAGCACAGAAATGAACGGGAGGCAGTCTACGAAGTGGTGGTACCATCGGTGCATGCACCACGGTACATTATCATATTATCGGCTTTGCAAAGTTTGTGGGTACTGAAGACCATGGTATGACCAACTGTGTAGCAGTCTACAACGTGTAGGGAATGGCAGCTCGGCGGAATGCTGGGATGTTGCCCATGGCTCGCGCCGTGTCAGGTATAATTATGGTTCCATAACAGGCAACCGCGAGATGCTGGTCGGCATTGGCCTGCTCGGCTTCTGGCTATTGGTTGTTGCAGGCCCAGACTGCGCTGAAGGCGAGTTGCTCCGCAGTTGCGAACAAACAGTGCATGCAGAGCAGGACTGGCACGGTTATGAACGCACCGCCATACCAGCACGAGCAGTTTCTGGCGATATACCTCTTCCACGAGATAAAGTGGCCCTTCATGTCAGAAGATGTGGTAACGTACGTGAGAGGATGCGCAGCTTGTCAGCGGCACAAGCGCCCCAAACATCCGGACAAGGCGGAGCTCCAGAAGACAGATATACCCGCAGCACCTTTGGCACGGATACAGGTTGATTTCGTTGCCCCATTTCAGCCGTCTGTGCCGGATCAGTTTCGCTATATCTTGGGCGTACAAGATGTATTAACGCGATACGCGATACGTATCCCTACAGCAGACGCCACGGCAGAGACGGCAGCGAAGGCCCTACTAGAGCATTGGGTTATGGTGTTCGACATTCCGGTGACCATCCAGAGCGACCGGGGCTCACACTTCACAGGAACGATGTTTTGGGAAATGTGCTCAGCCATAGGCATTCGGCAGGCATTGAGCAGCCCGAACCATGCCCAGTCTAATGGTCAGGTCGAACGACAGAATCAACTGATCGATAATGTACGCTGTGTGTGTGATAACAACCCAGCGGCATGGCCAGAGGCAGTGCATTCCGTACAGTATGCGCACAACACATCAAAGAATGCTACTACCGGCTGCTGTCCATACGAACTCCTGTTCCATCAGCACCCCAACAGACCAGAACAGTTTGCAGTACCACAACCAACAGGACAGCGACCATCACGTGCGGTGGAACGAATGGACAGAGTTTTCCGACGGGTGAAGCGCCGGATAAGCGATGCTCAGGATGCCAGGAGGGTGAGAGTTGGCGGGAAGGCGAGGTGTGGATATGCTGTTGGTGATACCGTGAGAATCAAGCTCCAACCTGCACAGCGCACGAAAGGAAAGCTTCACGCACACAAGTCCGAATTGTATACAGTTGTGCACAGGACTCGCAATACCTACCTGGTGAAGCCTTGCGGACCCAATGCCCTTACTCGCACGCTACAGCGACACTACAATGAGCTAGAGGCCGCACCCCCTCAGCGGTTGAGCTGGGAGCACAGTAGCAGCACCTACGGAACGGGGACGGAGGGGGAGCTTGACGTTTCTCCAAGTGCAGCTGCCCAGGAGACTACCCCGATTCGCAAGAGTGGAAGAGTTAGACGGCCAACCAAGTTTTTGGCAGTAAACCCCCGGCGGGTCCGTTATGGATCAAGCTCGGCCTGTAGTGGTGCCGAAGCGGATGCGTCGGACGATGACGAGAGTGCGGGGGAGGTCTGACTCTGACCTGAGATGCTTGGTGGCGAACCAGGCAGGTCACATGAATGCTGGGTGGGAGGTCGGCTGTCGCGGGAACACTTTCTTTGAGTCGGCATGGTGTGCCTCCATTTTGAGTTGGTGTTCATATTGTTGAGTTTGAGTGGGGGAGTGTGAGCGGTGTGCTATACACACCTCCTACGTGACACTTGACACAATCATCATCATACTTTACATTATATGCAGTAGCACCTGTATTGCTGTACTGGTATTTAGAGACCTTCTGATTGTTGATGAAGGCAGAGTTATCCTGGACAATACAACCGTCTCAACCCTCATTAACACGCTTACAGGTCGTCGTAAGATACAGCGAACTCCCGCAGCTTCCATAGATCAACTGTCTACGCACTTTAGCTCGATTGTCTCTGATGCCAGAGGACCTGACACCCTGTTAGTTCCTCCAGGTCCAATGCCAGCCACCAGTCTGACCACATTTTCACGTGTTAGTCATGAGGAGATAATCGTCTCCAAAGCCACAGGCTCGGATGGTATCCCCGCAAATATACTGCACATATGCGCTGATGAACTGGCCGGAAGTCTCACTTGCATCTTCAATGAGTCACTGGCCACTGGTATCTTCCCGAACCTTTACAAAATTGCCTCTGTTACCCCACTGCTCAAGGCTGGAGATCCCTGTCAAGCCAGCAACTACAGACCAATTTCCCTTCTCCCGATAGTCTCAAAGCTCCTCGAAAAGATCGTTCTGAAACAGCTGAGAAAGTACATCGAAGACAACCCCGACCTCAACATTCTTCCTCCCCAGCAATTTGCTTATAGGTCCCACCATTCTACTGAGGATGCGCTAAGCTGCGCCATAAACAGATGGCAGTGTACATGTAGCTTGGAAGAGCGGAACGTGGTCGGTGTGCTATTTTAGACATGAGCAAAGCTTTCGATCGAATCCGCGCGGCCGGCGCCATGAGGCCCATGACACCCTCCTGGATGATCTTTTCCAATGCGGCATTGGACGCACAGCCTTGTCCTGGTTTGCAAGCTATCTGTCCGATCGATGCCAGCAGGTTGAATATCGCCGAACTGGTCAGACCGCTACTCCCGTCGCATGCACAAGAGGAGTTCCACAAGGATCGGTGTTGGGACCTGTCCTCTTCACGATATACACAAAGAGAGGTACCAACACGTGTAAATAGTGACTCTCTACTCTACGCCGACGACACCTGCCTTTCAAAGGCCTGCAGAGTGTCCAACATCTCGAGCATGCTGCGGAGGGTTTTATCAGAAGATTTCGCCGCTCCAACAATCATATTTTGATGGTCGTGGCCTTCTGGTAAACCCAAAGAAAACCGAACTCCTGATCATCCATCGTGCCAGTGACTCAATTCCGGTGACTGCATCAGTGCTGTGCGACACGACTGTCATCACTCCGTCACCTAATATAAGTATATTGGGCTCCACATCGATGAGCACCTGACCTTCCGACCCCATATCTCCCACCTCCGTGATGACATTAATAAGAAGCTAGGTGCTTTGAGGCGAGGCAGAGAAAACCTGGACAGTGAGGCCCGCCGAGATTTCTATCTTGGAGTTATACAGCGCAAATTAGAGTACGCAAGAATATCATAATGTTCATTCATTACTTGTACACGCTTCAGAATACGATAAGCTTCTAGGACTGAGCCGCCGAGCTGTTCGCGTAGTATTTGCCTACCCTTCCCGTGCTGACGTTGAGCCCATTTTGCGTTGTCACAACCTCCACCCACTCAGCCTACGCCTCACTCTTAAGCTTTTCATTTTTACTTTTCAGTGCATCAGGTCCCTTTGCAGTCCCCTCATCTCCCAAATCTTCACGACCCGAAATGATGCTACGCACACTACCTCCCAAACCAGAGGCCAAACATCCAGTAGTCTCTTTCTCCCCCCATTCATGTCCCGGCCAGGCCACTACAGTCTCTCATTTCTTGGTGCTGACCGCTTTAATGCACTACCCGCCATCATTCGATCCCAGCGTACCTTGCCTGCTTTTTTGCGCTAGCTGCTCACAATTTCTCCTTGGGCACCCTGTAAGAAGGCCATAGGCCTGTTGGGTATACCCAAGTAAAATAATAAATACTACTACTACTACTACTACTACTACTACTACTACTACTACTACTACTGAACTTCGCCTTTATTTGAAAACAAACTGGCTGGCTGGATAGGAGCATCGATGTACGGTCTTTACGGGTAGCTGACCACGGTGAAGTGAACAATATCATGTCCATGATTTTTTTCATGTCCATGATGCCTTTCCTCTGCGTAGGTCCGCCACACTATTGTTTTTAAGATTGACATATTTATTGAGCATATGCGTTACATACTAAGATACCGCTGGCTCCATCCCTTATCTCCCAAGCTACCCCCCCCCCCCCCCACCCCCTGCCGGTGCGTCTGCCCAGTGTTGACTCCGAGACCCACGTTCGGACGAGCTGCCCAGGCCTCACCACCACTGCCGTTTCTGTGCTGCCTTCTCGATACTTACGTATGTACACTGTATGATCATGTGCACATTCACATGTCTGACGGTTCGTGGTTTTTCAATAAAATAAATAAAAAAATAAAAAAACTGGAGCTGATACCAACTTACCGTGGTTGACAGGAAACGACTGATCCGCATTCCGCTGTCAACACTATAGTTTCAGTATGCTGGCCCAACGTGTATGACCCGGTTCCTTGCCTGGAGGACTTGTTCTTGGAAATTCGGCACCAACCAGAAGCGATTTACACTCTGCTTCTCAGGAGACCAGGAGGCACACGTCCGGGGATGCGGTCGAAGTGAATATCCCAAAATTGACCGTGCGTGTGGAGGGCTCAGCTGATGTCCGGACCTGCTTGGATCTGCCCGAGCCGAAACCCATAGCTAACTCCGACCCCTCGTTCAGGCTTGGTGATCTGTCCGCATAGCAGTGGAGACAGCTGGAGCCATAGAAGCTGCATATAACAAATGTGTGCACTTTCGCCCAAATGCATTAAGCAGGTCTGTCCATTCAGTCTGTTGAACGCATTACTTGCGTCCGCCATCAGCATTCCTTCGGTGTCATCCAGCTCAAAGGCCTGCTGCATCGCGTGTATTGAATTGTATTCCCACCTCTTAACCGCAATTTTAGCCAGCGGATAGCTGAATACACCCAACCGCCTCCTGAACAGCTTGCCCGACGACGAAGAGGATGGCCTTGCCTAAATGCGTCGAGCGACCTCACCTATTGCAATCGGCGGACACCGGGTTGCTTGTCCAACGCTATCAATCTGCACGCAATGAAAGCCGACAAAGATGTTGGGTGCACATACGTGGAGGCTAAACGTCGTGCACACGATGCTAGCGCATCGCAAAGGCCATGGGAGGCATCTGAGAAACTGGCGCAAAAATGCCTCCAGTTCTCTGCTTCAACACCACTCGGTCCCGCACTACCCTGTTTACCGAGCGTTGCACTCTTAATCGACTGACGTCCAGGGCTGCTGAAATAGATCGGATGAGGTGGAGCAGGTGGATCACCACCAATAACGGCGTCCTCGCTCATCGGCTCAGCGGGTGGATGTTTATCTTTCAGGATATCCCGGACAGTGCATCCGTCAATCTCGTCGTCCAACTGATGCACGCCTCCATGACCGCTTGTCAAGCCACGGAGCGCCTTGCCCACTTTGCCCGCAGTGACATAATCTGCAAAACACCTGGCAGGGTCAACCGAAGGACCCACTGGATCACATTTATGCTTGTCCTTGGACGATAGAAGAGAGGTCTGTATGGTGTCCGCTTCCCGTTGCAGCTCCGCAAAATCCCCCTTGGACCACTGGTCCATGTGGCTTTCAAGTACTTTACCGTGTTTATTATTGTCACAGTCAGGATTCTGCAGTATTAGTATCTAGTAGACGGCTGCAATCTTGAGTGCGATAATTTCATACGATCCTCCATCTCCGTAGCAGGAATAGAACGATGTCAAGGTAGTGATAAATCTTCTTCCAATATTTCCAGACGGCACAGCTAAGAAATGTTCGGCACTTGTGTCCATCACTTGCTACCGTTCTAATTAATACCTACTTGAAGTACCATGACTCTACGTATACTTGCCAACCCAGCCAAAGTAAATCCCTTAGACACACACTCAGGTTCCCTGGATTTTCTCTCACTTTCCTTGTTTTCCTGGTTTTCGCCAATTTCGGCCATTTCCTCTTTTTTGGGCAATTTTGATTATTTTTCCGCAATTTTTCTGCAACTTTTGGGCAATTTCCTCCTTTCTTTTTATACATTTCCTACCGATTGCTCATTGGGGGACCAGATGTTGAGTTTCTTTATTGTCAGATTGCCCCCACATGCCGTGATTCTGTCAAATGCAGGGCCGCATATGCCCTTGTCACACCACAAAACAACCTTTTTTTTGAACACTCATGGTTCTGTGCCAATACCGGTACTTTTTCGATCAAAGTCAAAATCCCCAGTATGCCAGTAGTGACGGTAGTTTCCAGAACGGTAGGGTTGGCAAGTATGTCTACGTGGACGGTGAAAGTGTCCTATCGCAAGAAGGGACAACACAAGGTGATCCCCTCGCCACGTATATGTACGCGTTGGGAAAACAGTAAAACCTGGTGTAAGCGACCTCTGGGTTGAGCGACCACCTGCTCATAACGACCGTGTTTCCATGCACCGACAGTTCTACACACACCATGGGACCTGGTTCTAAAGACCACCTGGCTTTAACGACCGCTTTTGGTTGCACCGTGGGGTGGTCGCTTAAACCAGGTTTTACTTTAGTGCCCTTGGTACGTTTGGCGGCTGAGGCGGGTGCGGTGCAATCGTGTTTCGCGGACGATTCTGTCCGCTGCTGCTCGTCTTCGCAGGCTCCGTCTATTGTGGGACATAATGGACAAGAGAGGACCGGCAAATGGATATTTCATACACCCAAAGAAATCGGTCCTTGTCATAAAGGAAAGGTGTTACCAGGAGGCGACTGAATTGTTTCGAGACACTGGTGTTA